CAATCAGAGAAAATAATTAATATCTACTTAAATTACTTCATAACAGCAAATTCTACAGGGATATAACATTTCCTTAAAATTTTGAGTAAAATGTAAGTTCTACACACTGGCCTAGTAAATATCATAGTAATAAATAGCTATACTAACTTAATAAAATCTCTGAAAATCACTTAAGTGATTATTTGAGTTGTACATACCAAAATAAATGTCTAAAAATGCAACTGTTATTTTTGTGTCCAATTTACAACTATGGGTTAGGTTTATTTCACAAAATGAAATTAGTATTTGCTTAAAAAATATATTTTTTTAGATATTGTAAATATTTTTGGTAAATTTCAAACAAAATATTTGGGAAGGCATTAATTCTACTGATTAGTTTCTAGAACTTCAAGTATTACTCATTCTAACTTAATATTATTTCAACTTAATCATCTACTTAAGAAGTTGAGTAATTTACGCGCCAAATTGAAGCTAATCGTGCAGCCTCATGCGAAATCTGCGTCTCGGCCTCGGCAACAAGTGGCAGCCTGCCGGTGGAAGGAGAAATGCCGATACAATCAGCACCTGGGAGAATACTGTGGTAAGTGTCCAGCTAGTAAGAGTGAATTAAATATTAACCCTATCTTTTGCATTAACAATTTATAGGGAGTAAATTTCTTATTACTGCCGTAGCCATGCTTTTAAGTTACCGTAACAGGGTTGTGTAAGGTTACTTGATGTTAAAGCTAACGTAACTTTAGTCCACAGAGAATTCAGCTAACGATAAGATTAGCACCAAAAACTAACTCTAAGAGTACTGAACAACAAACTAGCTTTTTATATTTGAATAAGGCGCTGTGAAGACTTTCGCGCCTGGTTAAATAAATAAAAAACGTAGGGCCGGATTTATCAAGATCCAATTTTGCGTGCAGTAATTTGCACTTGCAAACTGGAATTTTGCGCGAGGGGCTGAACCATGGTTTGCGGGTGATTTAACAAGAGTGATTGCGTAATTGGTGGCAGGTGCAAAACTGTTGGAGACACCCTATTTAAATGATGGTTTTGCCTCCTCCCACAAGACGCACTTTTGCGTGTAAACGCCCCATATTGCATATTCATAGAAAAACGGTTGTTTTGAAGATGTGGAACTTTTTTATTCACTCTTCCTGGTCTTTCTTCAGTTTTTCCTTCTTCCTTCTCCATTTTGAAGCTTTGTTTTCATGAATTGCATTTAGGAATACCGCTAAAAAAGTTTATTTTCCGTAAATATAAACCAAGCAAAGTTGAAAGCAAGAGGAAAATGTCCGCTTTTGTTGAGCACACCAACAGCTCGCCGTTTATTAATAAACGTTTCTATGGCAACAGTCACCAACTGCTTCCAGTGCTGCCTTCAAAGACCATCGTAAACTAGGATACCTACAACGTAGCAGGAAGCTTTATTTATTTTTTTTGCGCTGTTTTTACAGTTTACTTAGAGTAGAAGATGTTTTGGAATGACAAACATCCAAATTTAAGAGCATATTCTACTTGTTTTATCAACTTGTTATAGCTAATTACTAATGTAACAGACTGTTCTGTGTCTGTATGTTAAAGTTGTGTCCATCCCTGTTGCCGGGGAGCGAAAGTTCGCCGGGTGTACGGCAGGGGGAGCTTGTGAGTTTTTGGTTATGTGTTAAAGGAAGAAGAAGAAAATAAAACCAAAACGCTCGGTTACACTAACATCAAAAACTAAATAGAATTTTAAACTAATTCTTCAAAAAAGAAAACAACTTCTATCATTCATGGAATGTGAAATGGATCAAATCCCCTTCGCAATCAAACCCTCTAAAAATATAAACTTTGTAGTGAGGTTGTGTTTATACAGAAGTTTCCAATAGAACAGGACCTGTTCATTAAAGTCCGA